TAAGTTTCTGTTGTGCATATGGCATGCATAGCTTTTCATGGACATGTAAAATCAGCTACACAAATCAACATCCCCATCAGCAGCAGAAAAAGAGGGACATTTTGTCTGGCAGTGAATTATCCTCGAACCATCCATGTCATATAATACAGTACATTAATTCAGATCAAACTGTTTAAGAACATTTAGGGATGGAGGAATTATAGGAAAAGTAGCAAATCTGAAACTTTCAAAATGCTGGGCGTCCTGGGTTCACTGTGAACTGTACCCTAACTCACCCTTCCACTTATCCGAAAGCCATGGAAATATCAGTTTTCAGTCACTCCCTCCAGCTTCTGCCAAGAGGTTTCTATTTATTTATTACAGCCTTTCAAAGGTTATTCTACTCATAATTGTGCATGTAAGAGGCACATAAAGCATCAGAATCACCTGCAGCTTCGCAATAAACTGGCTGTCAAAGATTAATCTGTCCAGAGAAAGACTCTGGTCGCCTTAGAGTTGCTGTGATGCATCCAGTCCCCGCACCTGCACTGCATAGGGACTAACTAAGGGGTGGAAAAAGCGGTGGTTATCCCTCTATCGTGGTAAGCTCATGTTACCAGAGAGGCCACTGGAAGCTGTTGTTGGCCACCAAAGAGTATTAATCATAATTAATATTTATTTGGTACCACCTAATGGTCATTAGCAGACTTAGCACGACCATGGCAAGTGCCATGTGAACACTCGAATCAAGAGCTGGAGGTCACCGCAATCTGCAAGCACAGATGATGACAGGATTTTCTTAATGTTCAATATAGGAACCAGGTCGGTGGCAGCAGAGACCTCAGTCTGGGACAGTGTTGGTTACCTACAGTCTCCTTTAGGACTGCTGAATCACTGGCCTAATGTGAGACTCTTCCTCTGAGACATGGAGTTCAACCACCTTTGTGACAGCACTGTGCTGGGGCAGGGACTTCAGCTGCTGCACCAGAAGAATGACCAAAGGGCTGGAAGCCGCAACATCTTGGGTGTGTGCCAGAGCGTGGTGGCCAATGCTTTTTGCCTTGGCAGGCAAACAACCTCTGCCCTCCATCTGCCTTCCTCTTGAACTTCCTAGGACAGGAAGACTGTTCTGTCTTTAAATAGAATAGGGTAGCAGGAACAACGGATGACACCATTTAATTTTGTGTGATAGACAGATGCATGGGCTGTGAAATGTCCTGAGGGGCTTGCCAAGGAAGTGAATGGTCTGTGGATCACTGGAAGGAGGCATGAGCCGTGATGGCTGCTTGGGAGGCAAAGTGAGGAAGCGGAGAACAGCCACAAATCAAGAAACACCCATGCTCAGTGCTGCCTTCCCAATGGCACATCAACTTCAAACCTCTTTTTCTAAATGTTTGAATCCTTAAATGAACTAGACCCTAGAGAGCTCAGCGTGCTCCCTCTCTGCTGTGACCCCACTATGGCCCTAGACACAGGCACGGCCTGGCAAGAGACCCCAGGCTGCGAGTCTTGCTGAGTGGTGGTCCAGTCAGCCCACAGGGCAGGTTCAAGCGCTGCCATCTTTGCAGTTCAATGCAAAACTCATCCTTTTATCCAAGCTGTTTCCCAGAAATGCCTAACGGGCAAGAACAGTCCAGCAATGCATTTTCCCCGGCATTTCAGTGGCCACAAGGACTGTTTCCGTGTATTACACACAAAAGTCAGGGGAGCAAGGAGGAAATTACTCCAACAACAGATAACTCTCAAGTTTGCATGCACAGATACATGCACACAGAAAAGTAAAAAAGGCTACAAATACTAGAGGCTCATTTATTGTCTGTTTTCAAATAAGAGAGAAATAAGCTTTGAAATAAGCCTCTGTTTTCAAAAAAGCATGACAAGTAAGAAAGAGATGTTGATATTTTTATAACACAATTAAATGTGTTTACTTAAGGCAACACTGCCTTAAAAATTATTGCTTAACATTATCTGTAGACTAAAGAGACAGCTCGTCCCCAGGGCCGTGAGTTTCAAAGCTAGGCATCGTGAAAGGGCTGAAGGTCCTCTAGCACAAATGTCTTCCTTTCCTTTAATCTGCTGTGCTCTACATCAAGGCTTGGGGGGGAAGAAAAAAGGAAAAAAAAAGGCCAGCAAGAAATGAGGAAATGTGCAATTGCTCAAGCTCTGAACACTGTGATAAATATTACTTTTTTACTGCCCCTGTTGTAATAGATATTTGTAATTGCCTACAATCATCTAAATTATAAGATAAACCTAGTAAAATCAGTAAAAAGGTAATAAAGATGATTGCTTCTTCTCGCTTTAAAGGCTGCTGTTTTCCATGGTATTATTATGTTGACATTTGATAGTCTTTTGTGAGAGAAAAAGGTGCATATGAAGAAAGGCAATTTCACAGCTGCTCCTAAGAAATGGGTTTCTAAAACATACCTAGTGCTTTGAAATTCTATCAGACCTGGATCACAACTCTGCTACTTACCCTTCCTGGGATCACCAGGTTGTCTATGCCTATCAAGTCTTTCTTGAGTTCATGCAGCTTCTGGAAGTTCTCCATCTTTATCATATTGCCATGGAGCTGAGCCACCATTTCAGAAATCTCAGCCAAAGCAGCTAGATAGAGAAAAACATAAAATGCTTATTAAAAACTTACAAGAGAGATGGCTTTTGTCTGCAGCACCCAGCTCAAGAACATCACCTTCCTTGTGTTACCCTTTTTCCTCACAGTGTACACTAAAAACCACACAAAAACTCTGGACATCACCTTATTGAGGACCGAGCAGTGTAATGAAGAGAGAGTCTATTTCCTCAAGCAAAAGTTTGCTCTATTTTAGCCACAGAAACTTTGTAGGAATACTTGAGTCAATTCAGGGCACCGATGAATGGGTTCTCCTAAAGGATTTAATGTCCTACATCTCCAATTAAGCTAGGAATCTTCTATAAGCTTAGAAAAAAATTTAAAATAAAATAAAAGAAGAATTTTTTCCACAGCCTGCACACATTGGGCCAGGTCCATATTTGAAGACACCAGGAAATGGTGGTGTCATTTATTGTATCATCTCAGATGGTAAACCTGGTAATCCTGGGGTTTGTCCTCAGTTCCAGCAATGAGTACAGCTGGAAGGGCTGCATGTCACTGAGTTGCATCACCGCTCTACTTCATTCTCTCCACAGACACTATCAACAACGAGTGACCAAACACCTGGGAGTGATTTTCCTAAGGAAAATCTCCATTGTCAAAGGGGATTTTTGCCGTGTGAAGAAGGATCAGGTGGGATACAGGAGGAAGGAGGCACTACAAGGAGCCAATCTGCAGCAGCAGAAGCCAAACCAAGTGCAGGCTGCTGCCAGTTTGCTCCCCATGTCTTGTCTTTTTGCTGTGCCAACAACACAGTAAGCCAACTCAGTGAACTAAACTGAAAATGACTTCACCACTTGATGTTTTCTGAGGGATCAGCTGATGGACTGGCTCCCTGTGCTGTCAGGTATGTGAACACCAACTTTGATACACCTAAATGGACGAGTAGTCTCTGAATAGGCCAGACACACTGACTGACTGACATTAGAGCCAGAAGAGCAGTTACAGCCATTTGTGTTAAAAAAATACAGTCAAGGGAACAGTAACATTGGTTCTTCCTTCCTACATCATTTCTCAGTGTGCAGTTCATCCACCTGTTAGTGGGAGACCTGTGCTCTCTGCTGGGATTCACATCCACATCTCCTGTCTTTTTTGCCTCCTTCACGCTCTGACCTTCAACAAAAATCTGCAAACACCTTAGTAAGAGACTGATCCCAGAGTGATGGTGTCCTCAAGTCACACTGTCCTTCTCATGCACTCCTACTTTCACCCCTGAACCCCATGTTCATATCCATTTCAGAAGTGGAGCAGGAATCAGACCTTGATGGTTGCTGCTGCTGCACTCTCTGGGGAGGTGGGAATGGACACATCATCCTTCTCATCTAGCCTTGGCTAAAAGAAATGAGGGCACTGCTCGCTGCATTGCTTGAGATCATTCAGGCAGTAGCTACATTTAGGCAAACATTTGTGTCACGCAGCCTCTGTGGCATTTCCTATCACTACAGGTCAAGTTACCTCTGCATTTGGTGCCTTGTCTGCTGCGGGTCTCCTTGCACAGCATCTAAGGGAACTTAACCAGCTAACTCAGCTAACACTTTACAGCTGGGAGCAGTCATGCTGAGCACTGCTCCCTGCCCAAGTCCTTCTGTGGATCTGCACCAAGTGCTAACTGTAGAGATAACATAGTTATCTTTAAATGTAAATAGCTTACAGTGGGGGTAGGGGACAGGAGTAAGAAAGGAGGGAAAAAAATCATCAAAAAGAGACAGCAGAAAGTGAGTTCAGACTACAGGAGCAAAACTTCTTCACATTTGGGGACCACCACTGCCTCCCCCCCCAAAAAAAAAACCCCAAACAAACCAACAAACCAAAACCAAACCAACCACCTTGGCAGTTTTGAGTTCCTGAAACAAATAATGGAAATAGTAGTAGAACAAACTCTATGTCTGGAAAAATGACACATAAAGACAAATAACACTTAAAGACATAATAATAACAGTGGTCATACTGCATCAGACCAAGGGTTCACCTGGGCCAATATTCTGTGTTGCTAGTGGATCTCTAGGGAAAGCCAGGAACAAGGCAAGCACACATGGTATGTTCCCTTTGCTTTCTCCCAACCTCCCAACTGTTTTCAGTTCAAGCAACTTCCTGAACTGCATGTCATTTCCACGTGTTTAATAACCCTCAGCAGATTCCTAAGTACTTGTCCAGACTGTGGCATAATCAGGAAGAAATTTTTCATTATGAGGGTGGTGAAACACTGGCACAGGTTGCCCAGAGAGGTGGTAGATGCCCAATCCCTGGAAACATTTAAGGTCGGGTTGAAAGGGGCTCCGAGCAACCTGATCTAGTTGAAGATGTCTCTGCTCACTGCAGGGTGGTTGGACTAAATGACCTTTAAAGGTCCCTTCCAACATAAACCATTCTATGGTTCTGAATCTATAATGTGTATATGGAGTAGATCATCTTAAGTGCCATCACATGGCATGTGCAGGACAACCTGGTGATCAGGCCCAGCCAGCACGGGTTTATGAAAGGCAGGTCCTGCTTGACTAACCTGGGATCTCCTTCAGTGCGAAGTGACCCATCTAGTGGATGAGGGAAAGGCTGTGGATGTTGTCTAACTAGGCTTTAGTAAAGCCTTTGACACCATTTCCCACAGCATTCTCCTGCAGAAACTGTCTGTTCATGGCTTGGACGGTTGTGCTCTTTACTGGGTGGAAAAATGGCTGGATGGTTGGGCCCAAAGAGTTGTGGTGAATGGAGTTCCCGACAGGCTGGATCGAAGTCAACCAGTTCCTGCACTTGGGTCACAACAACCCCATGCAACACTACAGGCCTGGGGGAGAGTGGCTGGAGCGCTGCCTGGAAGAAAAAGACCTGGGGGTGCTGGTCAACAGCTGGCTGAACATGAGTCAGCAGTGTGCCCAGGAGGCCAAGAAGGCCAACGACATCCTGGCCTGTATCAGGAACCATGTGGCCAGCAGGAGTAGAGAACTGATTGTGCCCCTGTACTCAGCACTGGTGAGGCTGCACCTCGAGATACTGGCTTCAGTTTTAGGGCCATCACTGCAAGACAGCCATTGAGTTGCTCGAGTGTGTCCAGAGAAGGATAATGAAGCTGGTGAAGGGTCTGGAGCAGGAGTCTTATGAGGAGCAGCTGAGGGAACTGGGGTTGTTTAGCCTGGAGAAAAGGAGACTCAAGGGAGACCTTATCACTCTCTACAACGACCTGAAAGGAGGGTGTATTGAGGTGGGTTTTGGTGTCTTCTCCCAGGCAACCAGTGACAGGACAAGAGGAAATGACCTCAAGTTGTGCCAGGGGAGGTTTAGATTGGGTATTAGGAAAACTTTCTTCACTGAAAGGGTTTTCAAGCATTGGAACAGGTGGCCCAGGGAAGTGGTCAAGTCACCAACCCTGGAGGTGTTTAAAAGATGCATAGATGAGGTGCTTAGGGATGTGGTTTAGTGGTGGTCTTGGCAGTGTTAGGTTTTCAGTTGGACTTGATGATCTTAAAGTCCCTTGCAACCTAAATGACTCTATGATTCTACAAGAGCAATCTTAATCCTACCATTTCTGGTCTTTGGAGTGCTGGATTTTGCAACTTAATCCTGTTTCAGTGTAGGCTTAAAGAAAATGGGGGGTTTTTTGTGTCTAGCCATGCAGTTCTAATGGATTTGAATGCCATTCTCCAGCTCCAGGGATTGGTTCTCTTACTTACCTCTTGAATCCCTGAAGTCTATGTGGCTTGGTGGGTAGTGTTTGCAAAGCCTCTCCATTATCTGCTTGTAGTGCATAAGCCTGTGTAAAGGTCTGAGAAGGAAGGTATTGAGAGGCAAGTAGCAGACTTTCTGTAGCTCAAAATCCCTGCAAAATGCCTCCAGCTTGCGAGAGTTCTTGATCCCATTCTCCAATTCCATTAAAATCTCATTGTGCTTCCTCAGGTGAATTGTCAGTTGCTAATAGGAACAAAGGAAAAAAGCATGCAGTAGAGAGAGCTATTAGCAATCGCTGTGAGACATGACTCAGGCCAAACCTACTCCAACAAAACATCCAACTAGCACAGCGTTTGGGATTTTGCAAACAAAGTCACTGCACAACACAACGGTTCCGACAGTCACTTGAAAAGGAGAAATGGCATTACCCATTTGAAGTACAGCCCCCCACCCCCTCTGCCTTCCCTGTAAAACAAGAGTACATGAGTCAACAAAACTAATTCTCCTATCAGTGAGAAATCCAAAGGCAAGGAGATGACATGACCACAGCTTATGAAAGTGCAGGTGCAACAGGGAGAGAGCTAGACAATGCAAATGCAGAGCTAGGAAACAAAATGGGATTTTTCTAGGAGGAGGAAGGGATTTAGTTGCCCCAGTTCCCTTTGGTGCTTTTGGGGAACTGAGATGCAGGCAACTGCACTTCTACCTTCTGATCCCTTATTATTAATGAGAAGTTGCATCTCCTGGGAATCCAAAAAACCACAAAACCAGAGATGCTGTCAGACAGAAATGGGTATGTTAGGAGTTCTTAATCCTTGGATTACATTCTCTTTTCCTTAGTGCAGTCTCTAGGATGATGCCACTGGCAGCAGGGGAGTTATGCACCGGCAAGTGAATGTTTGCATGCAACATATCACTTAATTTAGGTCTCAGTATCACAGACATTCATGAGCCCCCTTTAAAACAATTCAGCAGTATTTTTTTAACAATTAACACAGGGGCTTCATTTGTGTTTTGCAAAAGGTAAACTGGTTCTTTGCGATGCAAAGAGCTTCTCTGAGCAGCCGAATAATGTCTCCCAGTAGCTGGTAGAATATTAACCAGCAACAAAAAGAAATTGAATGAGTATATTGAAAGCACTTGAGAAGACAGTTTGGCTTAATCTAAAGCTTGTGTTTTTTGACACATTTCCAATCAACTCCCTCTCTCCTGTGATTTGTGACATCTTTACCAGAAATATACCTTCCCCAAGCTGCTTCCTCATACACTTTATATCCACTTTACAAGCCTGTAACTCAGGAAAAAGATATAGGAGACCCTCTGGACTACTACAGAGGCTGCCCATTAATTACTTGCTCTTAACATCTTTCCTATGTTAATTAAACAAGGAGTGTCAGTTTTCAGGTCTTTTAACAGGTCTGGTGATAAATATGTAGAGTTTTAACTAACTTCATCGTTTCCTGTGCAGTTCTTTAAGTCAAACTGGGTTTTTGCCTCTTGACTCCACATATCTGTGCTCATCAGCTGTGGCAGATCAAAAAGCAAATGAAGAAAATCCTCTAATGGGAAAGGGAGAATGGCAAAGGTGAAAGCAGATCGACAGGTCTAAGTTACAGCAAGGACTGTACACTGCCTTTAGACTAGTGCCACAGAAGGACCTGCAGACAGTGAAGGACAGACAATTTAATGTTGCAAGGTACCAAGAGCAGAAGCAGAGTCTGTCAGAAGCTGAGATTCCAAAAACTGTTTGTAAAACGTTGTGTACTTCATGAGAGCAGTGATGGAGGTAGAAAAGTCCCACCTGCACTTCTTCCAATGCCTCTGAATTGTGTCTTCAGGGGAAAAAGCAGTTCTTGCTAATTACACTGCAGAAAGGGTAAGGCCGCCTTACCGGTGACAGAGCTGCTGTGTTGGGAACCATAAACCAAGATTTCTACATTCTCTTTTTCTGATTTGCTGTCTAATCACTTGCACATCACTTAACCTCTCTTCATCTCTTTCTGTCCTTCTGAGATGAGCCTAGTACTAACTAACCTCTCAGGAGAGCTGTAAAGATTAAACAGCCCTTTCCTCCAGCCAAGGACTCAAGGCTCCTCCATTTACTAACTGCAGAATGCCAAAGTGGTAATCACCAAGGAAAGATTTATCAGATAGTTTCGAAAGCCCTTTGAGATCCACATGTCAAAGGTGCAGTGCCATGTTCTGCCACACACTGACCTGGCTGCATAGCTACATTAATAAGGTGAGCTGTGCGTTATCCATCCATGTAAAAGTCCATAGGGTTTTCACAGGCTCCTGTGCCTGCCTTCCACGCCGTTTGTTCAGTAACACAGAGCATCAAAAATACTACTCCAGCCAGACTAAGAACAGATGCAAAGTCTGCTGAATGTTACACCTAGATTTACACTTCATGCATGTATTTTTGCTTTTAGCTTTAAAGGGATCAAAAGCAATTATTTGCATTTATTCAAAAACCTTTCATCTAACCTGGCAACATAGTGCACAAATAAAAGTTTCCAAAATTAAATCAATATCCAGGTTATGGTCACTACTCCAGCAATATCTTAACACTTCTATTTGCATGCACAAGTAGGCACACTTGGCATCTGAATAGTCTCTTCAGCCACACAAATTCTTATGTTTTGCCTTCTTATTTGAAAGAAAAAAGAACTGTAAATGAAACATTCCTGAACTTCTGTGTCTGTTGTTCCTATATCTGGAGAGAGGATTGAGGAAAGGGGGTTGACAATTGAAAATCAGCTAGCAATTCTGAAATCTCAGGGCTTACCAAACACTTGATACTTCATCAAAGGAACCTTTTATAGCATAAGCTTTGATTACAATTGGCAAAAACCAGCACAAGAGGCAACATCAAATGAAAATGAAAAGCACAATAATTCTAATCCATGTCAAAGCTTGAATAGATAAAGGATCATTCCTACCTTCATACTCTGAATGTTCTTTAGCATAACATCTCCGATTCTTTGGTAATCTCCTTTAATGTGAGCATTAGAGCGGCCTTCCCTGGCAGCAACAGAAATACCAGACACTTCAGTCATGTAATAAAACCACATATTTACTTACAAGCACAGAAAGGAAGCCAATAGCTCTTTTCTTTTAAATTCCTAACCCTCGTGCTCCTTCGCTCCGGAGCATCTAAGGAATCTTCCTGACAGACATGCAGTTCCCAGGTACAGTATGCCCTTCACCCGGCCTGGCTTGCACTTCTAACAACAGAAAGGGCAGGCACTTAACAGAAGGATTAGACCTTTAAAGAAAATTGCTAGCGTTTTTAAACACACCAGAGATGGCTGGAAATGGCTTGAGAAGAAGGAAGACATCAAAATCCCACTATAATATACAGGCTTAGAGCAGGACAATTCTGTTCAGAAACAAGAATTGCACAGGACCTGCGGGTGTTCCTCCTCTGAAAAGGGAGGAGAGGCAACGAAGAGAGAAGGGCAGCGAAGCTGGTGAAGGGTCTGGAGCACAAGTCTTATGAGGAGCAGCTGAGGGAGCTGGGGTTGTTTAGCCTGGAGAAAAGGAGGCTGAGGGGAGACCTTATCACTCTCTACAACTACCTGAGGAGGGTGTAGCGAGGGGGGGGTCGGTCTGTTCAACCAGGTAACAAGTGACAGGACAAGAGGAAATAGCCTCAAGTTGCACCAAGGAAAGTTTAGATTGGATATGAGGAAGAGTTTCTTTACTGAAAGGGTTCTCTGGCATTGGAACAGGTTGCCCAGGCCAGTGCTGGAGTCCCCATCCTTGGAGGGATTTAAGAGTCGTGTAGACATAGTGCTGAGGGACATGGGTTAGTAGAGGACTTGTCAGTGTCAGGTTAATGGCTGGACTTGATGATCTTAAAGGTCTTTTCCAATCGAGGCAATTCTCTGATTCTCTAAAAAGCCTTCTGTTTGTGCAAGGAATAGTGGGACAAAAAAACCCAAACCCAAAACAAAACAAAAAAACCCCTCCTTCCAGCATCTGGGTTTGACTCATAAGTGTTACATACTGGCAGGGAACTTGATTTCAGTGTGTCACTTTTGGTATTAAAAACTGCTCCCTCCCACCCAGCCAGCTGCACTTGGGTGGGTGCTCCATTTTGGGGAAATCCAGCTCTTGATGAAAAAGATATTCCTGCTTCTAAACCCATGTGTGAGACAAGCAGGAATACCACACTTTGACTGAATCTGAACACATCTTTAAAAAACATAGGAGGAAAAATTCATGAATAGCAGAACCTAACTGTTACAGATCTGCTCCAATCAAGTTTGGTTTTCAAAAAAAAAATCACTAGGGGGACTATGGGGAGCAGCACCGTCCCCCTCCCCTTTCCAACTTCTAATACTGCATCCAAGTTTCCTGCAGCACGGCTTTTTACTTGCTGTCCTCAATTTTAAAAACTCAGTTCAACTCCTGTATCTGAATATTGGGAGACAGATCCAGTTCTAGTGTGAGCAACTGCAATTCAGCCAAAGAAATGTACTACCTTGGAAGAGGACAGAAATATGATCATGCTCAGTATGAACCCAAAGATAACAGGACTTCTGTTTTGTGCTACTGCTAAATGGATATATTGGTTTTCACCCACTTGCAGTAGTTCACACTTCTAAGAAAATTCTGTGTGCAGTGAACGAGTAAGTGGACAACCAGGTGGTAAATCTCTGCATACCTTAGTACCGGCGATCTAGCCGGAGAGGTCCCACACTCACCAAATCACAGAGGATGCAGCTGTTATTAGGAATATCCTTTCAGTGGTAAGACACAGAATTTTCTTTTTTAAAATCCATATAATTAATAGATGCATCATCAATAGATGCATATTCAGACATATTTTGTTTCATAAAGTTAAACATGGTTATGTTGATGCTGGATAATCTCTCTGCATGTTTTTCTAACTGGGAAATGCAGAGGGCACAGCTTTTGAATACTACACAGTAACATCTATTTTATACTTTGACAGACAGAGTGACTCAGCTGATAAACATGGGATTGCTCCATGTTAATGTGAACAATATCCAGCTTCACAGGCTGTCTTTAACTATTTCCCTATAGTGTTAAGTCTCCCAGGCACTCACACGCCTATTTGAGCAAGAAAAATACAGTTTGCAACAAGATTTTTTGCTTTTTCTGAACCTAAAGGTTACAGAGGGGCAGGAAAATGGGTTGTGTCAATGTAACCTTGATTAGCATCACCTGTTTTGCAAAAACACTACCATGTATAAACACTGCCATAGTCAAAACATGCCCAGGTTATGGTATATAACGCAAGGAATATCAGAGGTCTGTACAGACATTATAAGACCACAATTTCCATGTTACCTGAGGATAAAAGTCCAATTTATCTCCCCAGGAAGCCTCTGCCTGTCAAGTCATCTCCCCCCTATACTGTTCCCTGCCTTTACCTTCCCCATGTCCTATCCATCCATCAGCTCTCCCCATTGAGATTTCCTCTGAGAGGTTGTAAATAAAACTTTCCAGCTACAAATGCTCTGCTCAAAGTGGTGCATATCAAAGCACCCCCAACTGAAAACCACAACTGTTTGAAGTCCAAGGCAGTAGCACTGCACTGGCAGGAGGCAAGGGAAAGTTGCCCTCCACCCATGCAGCCAGCACGCAGCATCCCATCCCAAATGGTTCACACTGTGTTGTTGCACACAATCCCAAAAATGTCAAAGCTAGATGAATTTGTGCTGCTGCCAGTAACGACATGGTATTTGGTAATTCTCTCTAGAAGAATTCTTGCTTTATGTGTTATTCTCTAACTTTCTGGCATTGCCTGGATCCTTTTTTATGTCTACATTTAAGTTAATCTAATGGACTTCAGCAGCTCGGTACCTTTCCGATTTATTGCCAAGGTAAGTATTAAGCACATCATTACAGATTGCTATTTCCAAATAGAAATTGCTTTTCTGGTCTCCAGGCTACATAAAGGTTGGCTGGAATACTTGTTGCAAATTTCTTACTTACTAGCTAGCTTCTTGATGGCTGACCCCAAGCCTACCAAAGTCATGATGAGTGCTTCCACTGCATTTGTGAACTTCAGCCAATATTTAGTGCAGTTGTTCACTGAACAGTCAGGTCCTTATTTCCTAAAAGTTGACCCCCTGGCCCCTCTTCAGCACAGCCAGCACTGACTGCTTGCACAGCATCTCATCACATCAGTCACATGAAAGCATCAGAACATTGTTCTTCATTGGCTTTGGCCACAGACTAGTCCACAGCTTTTTTTTAAAACAGTTGAGGCGCTTTCAAATCGTACTCTGCATCTTGGCAGAGTGATGAAGATGGAGAGAAGCAGGTTCCCCAAAAGCAACAGCCTCTCTCCAGCTGCTGGCTGAGCAGTGAAGAGCTGAATTATACCAGAGCCCTCAGCCCAGGCCAACAGAGATAACCTGTGCTGCAGGCAGATGCGTGCTGCCGGAAGAAATAAACCCCTAGGAAAACCCAGAAATATGATGGCCAGGTACTGCTCCTTGCTCCAGCCATTCTCTCTGCTTTGGTTATTTATTTCCACACAAACGCTGTATCTTGCAACAGAGATGATTTTACCACTGGAAATGGTGCATTTGCATGTGCATAGGCTCTGATGTGGAGCAGAGGGGCAAGGAAAGCTGAAGCCTGGCACGGAGGAACATGATGTCTTCGCATCTGCCTCCTAAACCCCATCCTCCACTCCACTCCAGCTCTCTGCTAGGACTCCACAGTAACGCTTACGCTACACTGCTCTCTTTCCCAGCTCCTCAACATCCAAGTCCTAAGTAAACAAGAAGAAAAGAAACCCCAAGAAAAGAGCATCCAAATACACAGAATATTAAAATGAAAACCAAACACTCGATCCATCAGATGGTGTCTTACTACTTCAACAGTCCAAAGTGCAGCAGCAGAGAAGAGAGCTCTCCCTGTGGTGTATGTTTTGAATAACACCACTCAGCTTGCTGGGGGGAAGAAGCTGCTCATTTGTTGTGCATCGATGGCTAAATTGCTCTTCTCACTCCTTGTTTTCATGGGTCACTGTTTGAACATGGTATCTATCTGCCAGTGACAAGGGACAGAGCTCAGGGACTAGGTTCTTACAAATTTTCACCAGGAGCTGATTTATGACTCTCAGCTCCACAGAAGATGTAGGAGCTGGCTTCCCT